GTAAAAATATGTCCATTCAAGCTGTCGCCGTGACTCCGTCCGAACTAAAAAAAACATAATTAGTAACCCACGTGTTCTTCCAGCCTATGTTCTATATGTATGCCAAATTTCATCGAAATCCATTCAGCCGTTTTGGACACATTCAAACAAACATCCATCTTTCCAACTATCTAAACATTCGCATTTACATTATTAGTAAGAACTAAGATTACATAATGTAATTGTAAACATTTCAATGCTTCTAGAACAATAGAAATGATTGAATCTGTTTCGAATCCTGTTGACAGCGCAACACGAGCAGCGTAAATTAGACTCTATTGTTTCGAGTCAGTCTCGTAATCGTGTCGTCGTCGTTGGACAACTTTTATAATTACACTATTTTACTTTTACTTTTCTTTTAAATTAAATTACTTAATTACTTTCTAATTACTTTACTCGATTACTTTTTAATTAAATTAATTTATATTACAATAACTTGATTACGATGGAATTTACTACGAATACTAAATAGGGATTGATAAAAGTTTTAAAGAATCCCTTTTTTATATTTAATAAAATTTGTATATATAAATGGGCTTTGTTAAATGCTACCAGTTCAAAAGGAATTAATTTAAAAATATTTTCACTCCTCCAACTTCTTGCTTAAGAGCAAACTGTTTGTAATATTCTTTTCTCAGAAAACGATATAACTTTTCTATTTACAGATAGCCCGCGTAGTGAGAAATTAAATTAACAGTTTAACATAAGCTCAAAGGAAATTAAAATTAGAGTTTGTAAAAAAAAATCAACGAGTTAAAAGCAAACTTATGTCTTCTCAAAAAACAGTGTAATAGACAAGTTACTAATATTGATTTTAACGATGTGTGAGATTTGGGACTTTCGGGGGAAAACATTCACAACCATATACACAATCAAATCGAAATCAATTCAGCCTTTAAGCTACGGGATATCATAATGGAATATTCATACATACAAACTCATATACCCTCATGTTAGTCGGGCAAAAATGACGAGAAACGAGGCACAGTTCTACTGTGTTTGTGAACTTGTGACCGAGTTTTAGCTTTATCATCGATTAGCCTGTTGTTTAGACGATTCGGAGTCCATACAAAAAGAACTAATGCTTTTTCTACGTTACGACTTTAACGTTAATAATTTGAGATTCTTTTGTATTAAAGTTTTAAAATAAATAATTTGATAATATTGAGTGAGTTTGAAATATTAGAAAAATAGATTCTCTAGAGGCAACAGCGACTTTTTTACCATCTGAATTTATAATATAATAATACAAAGTAAGGATTTCTGAATGTTACAATAGAATTCCTTTGTACGGTCACCAAGCATCGCTTCAAGTGGAATTTTGTTTAAGAAATAACATAGCTTACCAGCTTTCTACTTACTACTTAAAAGATTCATGTTACATTCATATTTACTTGAAATAATATAGATTTAAACCTTATTTAGACTATTACATATAATTCAGCTTTGAAACTATCAAACCTAAAATCGGTTGCTACGAATTTTTAGGAAAGCCAAATTTCGCGAGGAAAGTTCTGAATTTATAGTTCAAAATACAAACAGAATAATAAGGGCATGCACCAAACTAGTTCCCTGTTTTGAGCTGAAAATTTAATACGTCAGTGCACGGCGCTGCGTTATTGATTTTCAGGGCTTTCAGGGGAGGTGCGGGCAGAGCGGGCGTCGAGTGGAATGGGACGGGGGCACGGGTGGCACACTGGGCGGTAGAGATTCAACATATACTATGCTGTACAGCTACATTCATGTGCTTTTACTGATTTAAAAGCGATTTTATTTTCGTATATCATACCATGTTTTTAGTACCAATGTACACTAAGGTTTGTTTCAGTAACTGTTAAACATCTCTTAGCGCGAGTACACATATTCAAACATAACTTGACCTTTCAAGTACCTTATTTTGAAGGTCGAATCTTTGTCATTGTTCGTCGGAAAGATAAATTGAATTTTTTTACGCTATATTTTATTAGTCCCTTTTGAAAATTCGTTTATCTAGTGCGAATATTGTATGAAAATATAAAAAGATAATTTTAGATAAAGTGACAATAAAAAATTTTGTAAACATACTATAGAGTACATTTAATAATTATTCTAAGCAGATGCAGTCATTGGCATGAGCCACTGAGTGTATTATTACGTACCCATATTGAATATTTATAGAATAAGGTTGGAGTAAATTGAATATGTCTATATTATGACCACGAATGTGTATCACAGTTAACAAAACACAAAGATTCAATTCTTAAGGAGACGACATAACATGTGATTAAAAGTAAGCGTGAGATAGTAGATCTTAAAGTAACGTAATCCTTTCTTCACTTTGGTCTATTATATATTTATTTAAAATCACATAATAATAATTGTCTCCAATTGACCCATATATGTCTATTTATTTAATTAAAAAACGATAAAGTATTTTTTTTTAAATACAAAAATAGACGATATTCCTGTTTTTGTTCGAGTATTTCAGCCTTGGAAACTCAATATCCATTGAAATATTTCAATCACTATGACCCTTATTACTACAAAAGAAAAATAAGCACGTGATTGCATAATGTAAGAGCATAATCCGGGGTTAAATCAGCCGGATTGTTTCGGTTCGTAATAAGCGGGGACAGTTATGCAAAGCAATCAAACTTCATCATTGAAAAGTTTTCTGAATAAGAATAAGTAAAATATTATATGGAATCGAACAGAGAAACTATCAGTTCGTGAAATGATGTTAAAAGTTTTGCAATTTTAGCCGAGGTAAATTAAGTCTGTGGAGAAAGGGAGGTGCGGGCAGGATTGGGAGGAAGGCGCTATGGGCTGTGAGTGAGAGGTATTAAATATAACGCTATGTTAACTCAAATACGATATAATTACAACTATAATAAACCTTTTTAAATATGTCAAAATGTAAGCTCACGTTTTCTTTCAATACTTTAAGTATACTTCAGTTATATTTTGTTAAGTTAGGTCACGTCTTATTTTATACCTTTCAGCTTAAGTATCGTATTTATTTGAATTCAACTCTGGTTTCTGAAGTACAAAGTAACGTAAGCACTGAATGCATTAAAAATATTGTAAATATAAGCTTTAATTTTTCGCTTTAAATTATATAATAATAATTAGTGAACTAAGTAACCCCTATATTACGAAGTACGTGTACAAATAGACCACAATCCCCGCATCAAACAATGTAGAAACAACCACGGAATTGCAGTGGTTAACCATCATGTACTGTACGTCTCTGCAACACCTACATGTTCGCATTCAAAGCGAGTCATTACTAAAGCTTAATTAATAGATCAACAATGTATAAGCACGTTGCCGAAACCATCGTTTATTTTGTAGTACAAAAGTTGTTTACACATTCCATTCCTTACAGATTACCTATTTATTTTAAATTATTAGCAACAACACGTTTGACATTTCAAACTGTGCACAACAATATGCACTCTTTTTTTTTCTTTTGTATCCAAAAAGTTAAGAAATGTTGATTAACTGGTAATGTTCTTATAGTTGTGAAGAATATCAACCATTTTGTAAGCAAAAAGTAATTTTATGTGGGCGCCCGGTATGGTATTGTAATAACAATTTTCGCTAACGGATTATTACGATTTATAATGTAAAACATGAATTTAAAACTCCTTACAGATAGTAATTATGAATCTTTAATAAAATACCTTTAATCTTCTTTTGTGACTTGCAGAAATAATAAACTCTTTGTTTGTTTAAATGTTGGGGTCAGAATGGCCGCCGTTTAAAGTTAAATCTGTACTAAGGGGCTCTCGAAAGAAATACACCACTATTATTTCGTAATATAAAAATCTTACTAACATTATAAATGCGAATGAATGAATGTTTGTTAGAAGGTATCTCCAGAACGGCTGTATGGATCTCGCCACAATTTGGCATAGATGTAGAACGTAGCTTGGAAGTGCATATAGACTACTAATTAAGTTTTTTTATACCACACGGACGGTGTCGCTGGCGACAGCTATTAAAAAATAAAACTGTAAATGATATTAATGTTTTCTCGCACTATCGAAGAATAACCTGTTTAACAAGATGTATGTCGTTGACCAACAACTCTGCTGGTTTACCTACTGTAGATGTCAAACATTGAATATTAATTGTCGCTATTAACCTTAAAAATGGAATGATTGAAGCAGCAAAGGTCAAGATGTTAAATAATACATCACACTGATATAACATACCTACACTTTTTGACATATCGTCTATGATCCACCGCTAAAAATCGAATTTATTTTAAAAGCTAGAACATTTGATGAATGAGTTGTTCTCTTATATACGTGGGTTCCTGAGACCAAAACGCCTACTTATAATATACTCTTATTTATGTTTTACCACAGATAATGACAATAATGACGAAAGGTTTTATACAGAAAATTTGATATCAGAAACCCACGGTAAGATTAATTAGACATAAGATCATATTTTAAATTATAATGATGATAATGCAATATTATCGCTTTATTTGTTTTTCTTATCAGAGCGTTTAATCTAAATTTTTAAGCAAGGTTATTGTTTACATCACACGATTGCGCAAAATGTTGCATAGTTAAAGGATAACGGAGTTTTCTTAAACTTAGCTTCATGCACGTTCCTTACCAAATCTGATGTAATGCATGCGCAAAGAGATACTAAGAAGGTTTGTGTGACAGAGGTCAATACACTGAGCCAAAGTACTTGGTGAATTATTCAAACGTTTTACTACATCTGAGCATTGAACTTTAGATTTACAATTCAATAATTAAACATACTAATCTCCAAGAAAAAGAATGTGAGCTATTGGATCAATACACATACAATTTCTTTTTTTTTTAAATAAGATCTGTGTTAAAATGATCAAAAAAGTATTTTATGTTTCAAATATATTATTATATATTTCATCCTTTTAGGGTAAAGCCATTATGATTGTTTTATGAAAAAAAACACACTACGAACGATTGTCAACATTTTTTTGAGACAAACTTATTTTCTAATATTTGAATAACAAATGAAGGACGTTTATAATACATAATATTTTTCTAGTTGTCTTTTTTGTAAGCTTTTTATCTTTTTACGTTATTATGAATATTTTTCACAAATCGCATAGCAGTTTTTAAACCCATATGAATAATAAAATTTATACTTAGTCGCTTCAAATACATTTACTTGGCTTATGTATTTACAGTTTAAAAACATTAGTAAATGCTTATATCTCACACTATATATGTACATTCGCAGTATATATTCACAAAATAAATAATATTTTAAAGTCTTATAAAATTATTACATCAGTTAAAAAATGATTAAAAAAGTTTATGCCCTAATTTAGTTTTGCACTTCACTGGTAAATGTTAAGTTTTTTTTTAATAGATTTCTATTAAATGGAGCGGAAGTGGTACCACCGGAAAATATTTTTAAATTAGAAGCGCTGTTATCAGAAAATAAAACCTTGTAGTTTGGAACCTGTTGGCGCTTTGCTGGATTTAAGTAAATATCAAATATAGAGAAGGTTGTTTTTGTTGCTGGCGTTGTTGCTACAATTCTTTCAGTTAGTTCCTGTCTCTCCTTTGTTTGAACACTTGATTTCGTTGTATTGCTCGAAAATGTAGACAATGGAGCTGATGTTGTAGATAAAGCTTTTGTAGATTTAAAAACATCTTGATTCGAATATTGTCTTGATGTTGTAGATGGAGTTTCTGTTGAAGTAAAAACTGAGGGTGTTGGTTTTGTAGTACTAAAATATGTTACATTTTGATAGTCATTCGTCCACGATTTTCCTCGTCTCCATGTAAAAGTTGGTCTGTCTGTCCTATATTCACTAACATATGTTTTAAACGGATTATATCTTTGTGTGTATTGTGTTGGTCGCGCTGTCCAACCTTTTGTTGTCCTCCAAGCGAATGCAGTTGGTTTTGTCACGGGGAATTGTTTTACTGTTGGCTTTGTCGAAAATATTGTCCTCTCAGTTGTTGTTGTGGTTGCAATTTTTTTTATATTTATGGAATTATACTCGGGAGATGGAAATACTCTACTTGCAGTAAATTGTTGAGATTGAGTTGAAACATATGGTTTCGCAGTTGATGTCTCCAAGGATTTAGATGTAAAGGAAACTTGCTTTAACTTTGGTGATTGAGTTGTGAGATAACCAAATTTGTCCCAAAAGCTTTTCGCTCTATTCTCGGTGGCTTCAGAAACCTTCTTTGGTACTTGTTCCGAAGAATTTAATCCTGCATAATATTGTTGTGTTATTGGAATCGAAAGAGATGTTGCTGGTTTCTGTGTTGTTGAAGATATTATTGATCTCTGCGTTGTTGAAGATATTTCTGGCTTCCGTGTAGTAAACAAAATTACTGGTTTCTGCGTCGTGGAAGATATTCCAAATTTTTGTGTTGTGAAAAATAATGATGGTTTTTGTGTTGTAAAAGAAATCATAGTATTTTGAGTTGGATAACTAATTGTTTTTTCCATTATAGTAGACGGTGTTTTATTTGTTTGAGTCACAGTAGAACAACACGCATTACTTGATATTGAGTTACCATTATCATATATTATTCTTCTCGTTGATGATGAACTATAATTAGTTGAATCAGTAGATGTAATATATTTTGGAGTCGTGACAACCAAAGAATTTTCGTACACAGTTTTGTTCCTCGTTTCTTCCATCGGTGTGTTATTAAATTTCATCATTCTACGTCTAAACGAATTCGTCTCTATGGTTCTCCATGGTTTCACCGGTTTGTACTGCGGTTCTGGTTCCATCGTGGTTGTAGAAGTTGTAGATAAGCGTGCGGTGACCGGTTCAAGGAAGTTGAAATTTGGTCTCCTGTTGAAATCAGGCAGTTTGAGATCATCTACGTTATCTATTTTAAACTGTGCCCAGTTAACGTTTTTATTTTTATTATAATCTTTTTCAAAGTCTTGCTCGTATTTATCGCGAAGCAACGATACTATCGACAGGAACGATGGAACGGAACGATCACTTTGAGAATAGGAAAAGTCACTTTGCACTGGGTTATATGACGTAAAGTTAATATTAGGGTAAGAATCATGTGATGCACGTGCTCTATCTTCAAATTTATTACTTGAATCTTTGGTAGAATGATCGCAGTCGGCTAAATATTTTTTCGCATTATGTTTACAGTAATGTGGATACACCACCCAAGCGAGGAATCCATTCCCTTGTATCCGAGTGTGTTCTTCGTATATACTAAGTGCACACTCTACATCATCAGAGATGTCATCGTCACGTAATGCTGAACAAGGAAGTCCGCAAGCTTTGCCGGCTCCACACCAGTATATTTCGCTTATCTGCAGCAGTCCGTGGTCGCCGCTGTTGGGGTTGCGAGCTGCAGTATCGAAGCGGGATTCGTGGTAGGCAATGCAAACCCATGTTGCTATATGATCCTTGCGTACTCCTAACTGGAGCAGGTCGCGTGCGAGCTCACAGCGCTCGTAAATCCGCGCCCCGACGAGAGCTAGAAGCGTACTCGTCAACAATGCCACGGTATACATCTTCAAGTGTGACGGCACGCCGGGGTCGGACGCTCGCTTTTTTACCTTTGCCTCCCGCCGCGCGCCCGCGCACTATCTGTGTCACACCCGTATTTAACGGTAATATTAATTGTTTGAAATTAAACTGCCGAGCATTTTGGAGCGCGGATAATTATATCATCCGATCGGTACGGGTTGTTAACTAGTGATGAGCAGTAAATGGCAGCTGAACGGTGTTGATGTTTGAAACGTAGCGGTTTGCCTTGAGGCTAGCACGTCGCGAACTCACAGGTAGTCAAATAAAAGCTATTATAAATTACTTACATCAATATCTCCCGATTTACAAAAATAAAATACACTAAACACATGTATTTATAAATATAGAGCCATTTATTCATACGCACTTATCACGTGCTCCTTTCAAATATATTTTTTTTTCAATAAGACTATAATAATCAGTCTGTCAACTTGCTTAGACAACAAGTACTAGAGAAAAAAGGTTTTCAATAAAGACGAGTTTTGGTTGCGCCTCTCTGATTAGCGAGTAAACATTTAAACATTGACTCGTACAACAACCGCAGTAGGTCAAATGGCAAATTGAGGTAAGTTCAAACTGACCTAATGTTAACTTAAATTAATTACATCATCATTTCGCCTTCTATCCATGGTCATAACTGGTGTGAGTACATCCTTATAACTTATAACTTTTATACCCATACATTGTTTAAACATAAAATTATAAGATCTTTAATAGTTAATATTTTCATAGATAAAATAATAAATTTTCTTCTTAGTAATATTATGGAGACTTTTAATTATTCAAGTGACACGGTTATGAAGAAAAACAGACTATATTAGCAATTACCGTAGCACAAGCGATCTGTCAATTGCATGGAAAATTAATTTATGAAACGGACGAGCTACGGAGTGTTTTAATTGCAATTCTCCCATTGCTTTTACAATTTTTTATTAACTACAGAATTCAATTCTCTTTGCTTGCAAGAAAATGAGTTCCTTTATACATCTCAGAGAAGGTTTTATAAAGGAAGTTCAGATAAGGATTTACAAGGAATTCATTTCAGACGCATTTTTCCAGTAAATTGGATGCCAACAACAAGAATTTTGTTCAATGCAATTCTTTGATAATAAAGAAAATAATGAAAGAAACACTTTATACTTCAGTTGTTATTATAAAATCATAAAAAACTTTGTTATTTTAGCGTTGAAATATAAGACAATACTGTACTTTTCTATTGTTTTTGAAAAAGCATTCAAACCTATTTTTACACGTCATGCCTCATTAAACGTATTATGCGGGCTTAGAACCAGTCTTTAAAATTGAAAGAATTTTAACATCTTTAATTAATTGTTAATAAAATTATATATTATATATATTTATTATGACACAGATTTATTATAGGTCTATATATAATAGTTTACTGTAAGCTATCACATGATGAATTTATCACAACCAATAACTTTGTACTATAATTAAAGTTCGGTGAGGACCTTTGTACACACAAAGCCATGGTATTACTTAGTTCATCAAGTGTGCAAGCAAGGAAATTGTACGGCAGTGTACTGGAACGTGCTCGTGGCAGTTCTCGACATGTGTACAGACTCACCAGTGTACTGAAGTGTACACAGAACCTTGAGTTTACGTTACAAGCCCGTCGTTTGCGCTGTACAAATTAAGCTATTTTGTTCGCTGGAATACGACACCGAACATTATTTTTATAAACATTAATCAGTGCTATTTTACCTATCGATAACAGTCTGGAACAGTAACGCATGGGCTATTTTTTTTGTAAACGGACAGAGTCGCAGTTGATGGTTACTCATAATTCTCTTTCCGATAAGTTTTTAATGTAACAAAATTATGACATAATATATTTTTGACTCAAGAACTTCACACAATCAAACCTTGTATACATAAAAAGTTCATGGTTATGACTCTAGAATTTGACGGTTATTTGTTTTTAACCTTTGTACTAAGCTGACTTATTGTGTATTATTAAAAAATATAACTTGTGACCCCACGAATCTGCACAACAAACTAACCACTATTATAGTTGCATAATTTAGTAAGTATTTTTGTTGCTATGCGAGTTTAAAAAAAATTCTAACGTAATGGGAAGGAAATTAATATTCCTGACTGTAATAAAAAACTCATCATACTAACGTAACTATCTTTACAGAATTACATCGGCATAAATTCTAATAAAAATAAGCGGTCCGACTCTATTTTTCACTTGACCTACTTTTCACCTTAGTTCATTTCCTAGATGGAAGCGTTCATGAAGTCCGTTGCAAGCGTCAGAACATTTCACCTGATAGCATTCTATGAAGTTTGATACACTTCGTTGATTGGACATCGCTGACGACCCACATCTTTCTATTTGATTTAACACTTTGAACGTACGATGTTTATTATTTTTATTTTGCCTAGTGGTCGCTCACGAGTTAAGAAAAAGTCGTTTTGGTGATTGCAAAAAAGAATGTGGCATTGCGGACACACACACATACAAAAATTCAAATAATTAAATATTAATTATTAGCAACACAAATACATCGTGTTCGCTAAATATGTTTTTTTTATATTACCTACAGACACTCCAATATTAAAATTATGTATAGATATCGTGAAAAATATTCGATAAAGTTAAAAAAGCGCACGTGCAAATGAGGGCTCATAAGGACTGAAGCAATAAAAAAAATGAAATTCAATTTAATATGAACGCATTAAAATACACACTACTAGGTATGCAGATTAAGACCATTTAATAATAAAGAGGTAAATAAATGAACGCAGACTTACCTACGCAGCTGTAAAGTTCCGCAGCACCTCTCAGTAAGCAGCCATCCTCTCTTGTTATTCCACTAGTTAAATTGACACAGAAACATCCATCATCATTGTCCAAGAACCATTCGTTGGCAGAGAATCTGTATCCAGGTATTCCCTCATAGTCAATATCGTGCTGATAACGCAATTCTACGGACCTGTTACATAATGAATTATTAATTATAAACTTAAAGAATTTAAAAAGTCGACTCATCCGAATTAAAAATAATAACATGTCTTATGAAACTTCAAGAGAATGAGTTGAGAAGTAGATGAAAGAATATTGACGTAATAATTCTCTAATATCCTTGAACATAACATAATTTTAATCGTTGCCATTTTATTAATTGAGGTTGGGTAATTTGCATTTTGGTGTAGGTATAGATAAATGATCCTATCAGAGCTATCAATAAATTGGTTTGAGGGATTAGCTTTCACAAAGGGATACATGGAACAGACGGACTTTGTGACAATGGTATTACATGCATAGATGCATCAATATTGATAATTGAATACAAGTTTCATTAATTAAATGCGCCTTTGACGTCTGTAATACAGAATTATTGGAATTATACGAATATGTACGTGTTTGTACAATTGGAATTGTACTAGTATAGAAGGCGATTTATTGGACGGATAGATATTAATTACTTTCAAATTTATAAATCCGCACACTCGTACCAACTCCGCTTCTGAACTTATTTCTACAGCAGGCGACAAAGCGATACAATGTATTTGTGTACAATACATACCTATCTTTCATATCCAATACAATAATAAAGATTTTACCCAAATACTTTTTAATATTTATTTTTAATATCAGTAGATTTACTAATATTTCTTTTACCATTGCAATTAAGCTCTAGACTTGTGCTAGGATATGGTTCATGACAATAGTCGGCGGGATTCGAATCCCCGACTTCGTGATCGGTAATCGTACGGATTTATCGTACCCTTAACCATTAGGCTATTGACGTTTATATTTTTTAATAATTGCAATTTTTTATCAAATAACACGTGCGCGCGCGCGTGCTATCTAGTTAAAATTGTGTTGTATGAAATTGCGAGCTGCCATAGAGTGTGGATAATGATATACAAACAGAATATCTGAGAAGTAATACAAAGAAATTCAACCAACCCGCACTTGGCCAGCGTGGTTGACTATGGCCTAATCACCCTTAACTTAGAGTAGGCTCCGAGCCTCTCGGTGGGGACGTATAGTGAGCTGATGATGATGATACAAACAGAAAATCCGATGGACGCAGACGCAGCAATATAAATAAAAACATCAAATTAACATTCCTGCACAGGGCAGACTCCAGTAAGTAAACGCATAAATGAAAACTGTTTTCATTATCACTGAAACATCTAACCTATGTACATAAATAATCCATTTGATGATGTGTTCAAATTATTCAAAACAAATAACATGCGCGAAATGGGAATGAAATGAATTATTTATTTAAGCTGCTTTTATTTTCTCGCCAAGCTCCAACTGTAATACCTAGGATTTTCACTGACGAAGCGCTCGTACAAAAACACGTTTTAATCTCAGTTTTTATATAGAAAATGAAGGCGATGAAAATATTTTTATGCGAATTTAGTTCTTACCGCAGATATCTACAATTTAATAGTATTTATCTAACAACGACTTAACATGGGTTTCTGACACAAAAATTCCCGTTTAAAACATATAGTTATGAAGGTTTTGTCAAAGATAATGACAGTGATGATATGTTTTATACAGAAATTTTGGTCTCAGAAACCGACAGTAAGTAATTGATTTCAACGTGTGTGATAAGGTACAAACTTTACTTAGTGTATTGACTTTATTATGCTTTAGACAAAACCTAGTTGTACCTAGATATGCCTATCTCCTATCCAAATAAGGGCTTTAATTCATAAAATAATGAACTAAACAAAATTAATAAAATATTACATGTAAGTTTCAATATTGGATACGTTTTTCCAAATCGACAGTGGGATGTTATTAAAAATGTTATCGGTAACATCGTCGCTAATAAACGCATAATCCGATTACCATCGGATTCATTCAACCGCGCAGAAATTAAAATGAGTTCTATCAACAACTAGCAATGTTCAACGAGTCATCCCTCCCTCTACTATCCCCTAGGGTAGCGACACCAATATTTAAACCAATGTATTTAGCTCATACCTCATGGAAATGTTCATTAAAAGGCTTTGTTACTTCAAGCCAATTTGAGTTTGAACTTTGCTTCAAATCTGCTAATTAACGTCGTACGTGAATAGATTTATACAAACATAGCTCGCGGGAAAGCATTTCACATTCGGTGGAAACGGGTACATACATTAATGCTTTCATTTGAAATGACGTCTGCATTTTGAAGCAAATTAATTGCTCTACTCTATTACATTTATTCGTTTATATTCAAAACTATATTTGTTTGTTATTTTACTAATATTATAAACGCGAAAATTTTAATTTGATGAAAGGTATATCCAGAACTGCTCAAAGAATCTCGCTATTACGAAATTAGATATAGATGTTTACAAAGGCAGATAAGCTACTAATTAACTTTTTATATTCCGTGCAGCCGGAGTTGCAGGCAAAGGCTAGTAAACAATACCAAAACTAGCTACTTCTACATATAAATAAATGCATAGAGTTTATATGTTAATGAGATTAGAAAATGCAGATAAAATAATGCCAGCATTTATTCCGACTGGCATTTTCCTGTCTCTGTCTCATCACTACGATTAAAAAGAACATAATTACAACTCTATATGTATATAGCTCATTTGACAATATGAAAAGAATATAATACTATCGATTGATATGTTTTGAATGTTTGTCAGTACAGAGAATAACACGTTCCCAAAAGCTAAGCGGATTATAGGCTCGGACATAATAATACTAATGGACGTACAGACAAAGGAGACTTGCCTGCATATGTCAGTGTTGATGCCGAACAGTGATTTCGAGTTATCGACAAATGGATTGTATATACTAGCGTCGGTTCCATTGATCATGTTACAAACGCTCGGTTTTCCTTCCTCTTCGTCCACCCAATAGTAGAACTGCGACGATCCATTTAGGGATATAATGCGTCCCAAGTCCTCTGGATTGTTAATACCTCGGTGCACCTTGTATACGCTGCTGGGTTGTATACGCTACAAAGGAATTCATGGTAAATGACAATATTTAAATCTATCTAATGTATATAACATTACATATTCATAAAGACCGTCTGTATGTTATATTTCGTACATGTTATATATTTTCGAAACTGATAACAAAAAAAAAAACAATTTTTAAAACTCTGTTAACGGCTGGACTGATTTTGACGGGACTCTGACGGGTAGGTAAATGCACGCAGGCATATTAAGCGCTACTTTTTTTTAAATTTTGCACTGACGAAGTCGCGGCAGGTTTAATAAAAAAAATATTGAGTTAGACTGTTGGGTTGAACATTAATAAATAATAATACGAGTATAGGTCTGGTACACTGATTTCCTTAAATTCGGGTCATTAAATTATTTTCATACTTGTACTTGATTTAAACAAAGTAAAAAAGATAAGTCTCAGCTAACCTAGCTTAACCATCGTATTGGAGCAGAGAATAGGAAAATATTATATATATTTTAAAAGCAATTTTTCTCTCTTGAATTACACGTGCAGTCGTTCGGAAATATGGAAAACTCCAAAGGGATATTTTATAAATTTCTACGTTTACATCGAACATTGTATATTGAATTGATTCAATTTTACCATGTTATTTTCCTGCTTCTTCCAGGCTGCATCTAGTAATATTTATTCGAATCAATTGAAGCCTATATAAGTTGTTTGTGCAATCGCTCGTATTATTTCTAATTCTAATACAACATGCATATGTTGTTTGATGGATCTTCAGAGTTGTCGTTGATTTAAACTATTAATGTTAGGTTTAATATTTGAATACTATTTCATGCTAATGTTAGTTTATAAATACGAAATGATACTTACAACATCGAGCTAAAGTCCCCACATGACTCCAATATTCATTTCATGAACAATCACTGGGCTAGTATTAGCTACAGAATTTGAAACGTCGTTCTAATTGCTAGCTTCTGTAGCCTCAAATAAACACAAATAAACCCGATTCATTGAAAATATTCCACAAAAATATTTTTAGCGTGTTTCGAATTTGTTCCAATTAAAAAAAAATGCGTTGTTTCGTTGGAAATTTCAGTTATACAAAAATGCCGCGGGTAACTGACAATCGGTGGATTTGTTTTTGACAGCGTATTTTTCGGCTTTTCAAACGAAGTTATTGACTGCTCAAAAATGTTTTACGTATTTTACTTGATTTCCGTGCTTTTCAAGTATTGAAAAGGTGAAATTAAGGTGAAATATCAATGGAATGGAAACACGCGGTACGTGCATGAGCAGATACTGAATATGTCAAGTATTTGATGAACGTGAGTTAAATATTTATTTAAAGTAATTTCTTGCATTGAAACCTCTCTTATCAGAAGATTATGTAATAAATTAAAGCTCTATAATACTAATTTAATGCTATTTAATACTACTTACCGATGTAAGAAGAGCGAATATGATGGAACCATCCTCTTGTACAGCCAAGTTATTAGAAGTAGCGCCAATACTTCTAATCTGAGTACAAACGATGCTGGCGATGAGACCGGGGTTTTCACAGAATCTAATACCATCAAATAATAAATCACGAACTCTTATATCGACGATAGGATTACCATATCTACCAAATACACCGGTTATTGCAGAGTTTATTATACTCATTAAGTTCGGAAATGACTTCTCTGCAACTTGTAGAATAAGCTGAAACAATAAAGTAGATTTAACACAAAACAAACAAATGCTGTAATTTCTAAAATTACAATCAGTGGGTTTATCGCGAATATTTGCGACAATCGTCTTCGTATCATCATCATTTATGTTTAAATTAGTATGAGATTCTTAGTGTACATGTCCGATACAAATTTTGAGAGCTGCACAGATTTTGTCGATGTCGATACGATGGCGTTTACCACAGATATTCGTGTTAAGCCCACATTACAGCATTCATAATTAGCAAAATTTCACTTCCATGCGCTTCGAACTAAACTTTTAATAACGCGGTAACAAGTCGTGGGTTATTATACATTTTGGTTCGGGTTAGAACTTGATTCATATATGTTGCATATATGTTATAAAATATTTTTCCAATCTCATTTTTTTCTTAATTTGATACTGTCAAATAAATAAGAGCAGAGACGTAGGTAGTAGGAAATTATTTTAAGAGTAAATTGTACATTATTGGTGATTTGAATACGTTGACCTTAAAGGTGATATTTGAGGCATAAATAAGTAATACAGGGCAAGGTAATTTTGATGTTCGACGTATAGAAAATTCGCCTGCTTTTATACGTTAACGATGATACTGTTATCATATAAAAGTGTACAGTAATAAGGTAAACATGAAAGAGACACGTGATTGACGGTCCTGATATGGCTGTTATTGATCGAGCACGTTGTCGCTTTAGCTGTCTCGCCCGGGAACGGGAATCACGTTGCCTTTGATACATGTAGTTAAACAAGACCTAAGTACAATATTTAACCCGACTTACAAATCTATATATAGAGAAAGACAGCAGAAAGATGGGTAACAAGTATAAAGACATGATTGACTATAATGAAATATGGAAGATATTAGGAACCGTAACCGACAAGGATGTACATCGCGATGAATGGAGAACTAAGAGATATGCTTAATCCGTGGCAAATGAAAGTCGAAAGTCTATGTGTAGTCAGGATTTTTTTCTAAATTGAGATGCTGTTCAGTGGTTTGTATCAAATAAAAATGGGACAGAGTAATTTAAGTTATCCTTCCAATGTAATAAAAGATTATATAGATTCCTTGATATATTTGAAAAGAGAAAAGTAAGAGATTATATATTATAATACAAGCAACAATGTAGAACTCAGTTCTCGGACTGCGTAGATCCAAAGCATCGTTATTAAACTGGTAGCGAGTTGATTTTGTTACAGGTGAATAATTCTGTGACATTTTCAAATTAAGACTATTCCTGAATTGAACTTCTCGATTTCGAGTTTCATAAAAATATTTTTGAAAACCTACTAGGTTGCTTAACCTATGTAAGGTTTTAAAAAATTGTTCCCGATAGGTTATTTAAACGGTGCTTCAATTTGCTGTACACACAAAAATCTCGACCGCAATTTATTTTTTACGTGAGCCAAATTAATTTTTATCAATTCCGTAGTCCGATCTGATTTTAATTCCGCTGAAGTGGTAGCAAATGGATCCGGGTACGAGAGTCGAGCCGATTTGAACCGGCTAGGGCTAGTTAACACCGGATGAATGTAAGCCCCGTCTGAAGAGCGTCGGTGCAAATTAATCTGCTAGCCCTCAACATACGTAAAAGCTATTCACTGCAACGTGTAATGGCCGAAGCGAATAACCTAAAGTTACGTTTACTATTCGACATAACCATTAAAAAGTAAACCTTGACTTTAGTCATTATTATTCCTTACGTGAGTTTAGAGGCAACCACTGTACTCCAAATTATTCACCGTACAAACTTTTAAAAGCTATAAGTGGTTCATGTTTTTAGGACAGTATTTAAGTACAAATATTTTAGTACTTAGAGCATGTAATAATATGACTATTCTACTATTACACCTGCTGTTACTACGTCTGTTTATTATTACTACATTGTTAATAAATTAAATCCACATTTAGATATCTTTGTATAGAAATAAATAAAAAAAACAATCATCAATAATATTACAAATTAGCATTATGGTATGCGGTTATAACAATAAATTAGATATCCATCGCGTTATTTCCTTGTTTAGCTTTTTAACCTTTATAAAAGTAATACGCGATGAGTATATAGCGGCATGGTCACGGTAGCGTTACGCATTTGTTTATTAATTAACAGAATTAATTAAGTTTTATGGTGAAGATTTTTAATTGCGTATTATCGAACTTAAATAGCCACCGTTTTTACGGAATAATTTTGTGATAGGATTCATTGCAATTTATTGTTTCTTTTAGATTGCGCGCGGGAAAGAAACAATCAATAAAATTAACAAATATTGCTTGTATATTGACGCCAAATATTTTAAGTTTTTATTCTTGTTTGTAGTCCTCGTTTATTTGTTCAAATAACAATAAACTTTGATAAGATCATTTGTTAACTATTTTTTCTTTACTAAACAAACAAGTAGATTAAAAAGATGATCGCGCTCTAACGTATTTCATTAGTGGTAAACAAAAATTCAATTTATTTTATCACACGATTCACAATGGAAAATATTTTCTAGAAAATGCACTGGTATCGTGTTTAGTACTTTTATTAAACGATAAGGTCCGGTGTCTTCATTCCCTTTGTTATAGCAATCGCGAGAATTTATATTGCAAACACTTCGCTTTATTAAACGAACAAAAGAAAAAAGTTTTATGTGTCGTATATATTTTTTTTACAAGCTTATTCTTTTTAATAAATTCCTAAGTTGGCTAATTTAACGATTGTAATAATGTATTCCAAAAAGTTGTTTTTTTATACTTAATTCCGCAGATTATATTAAAACGTAAAATCGAAGTAATTTTTAATAAAGTACTTTATTCTGTTACGACAAAATAATTCTGATTAATTCCAACCCAAGTCTTTTATTTTTTTTTAACAATATGTCAACAATACCAATCGTTTTTCTTTTTTATTATATGCCCATGACCGCTGCTCATCGAAGGCCGCTCTTAAGTTGGATATATTATCTAGTCATAGTTGTCGAAGTACCTTCGTTGAGGGCTCCAGTAGACTGATCGTTGTGAAGATCAATGAGAGACACCTACTGGTATTTTTTTTTGTCACTGAGTAGTGACTGTTTGCCTTGAAGAGGCATTTACAGCTTCACCGGGCTTGAGGTGGCCGAGCGCAGATGGCGCTTAGCCTGGACCTCGTTTACCTATTGGTAATGAATACCATCAAAAGTTTTGAGTGCTGACATTATTAAAAAGAAATCTTGCTCGGTCACTGCCGAAGCCATCATGTGATACTTCTTACTAATCTTACTAATATTATAAATGCGAATGTTTAGATGGATGGATGGATAAACATCCAACGTGTGAAGGTATTTCCCGAACGGTTCAACAGATGTAGAACATAGTCTGGAAGAAGACTTAGGCTACTCATTAAATTTATTTTTAATTCCACGTAGACGGAGTCGCGGGCTACAGCTTGTATACGATAAGACCCAAATAAAATATTTTATTGATAAATATTTACTTTTCTTTTTGTTTATTCCGATGACCTTCAATCAGAGTACACGCTAAATATGTTTATTTGAAGATGTTACGTATTAGCTAAAATATTTTGAATGCCTAACACACATGCAAAAACTTGCTAACAGCACGAGGTGACTTTTTTGTTTACTTGTGTAATATTTGACCGAAAATATCTTATAGGTTGTACGAAATATAACATATACATAATCTGTATCATTTTGTCTAACGCAAAATTAATATTATAAATGCGAATATTTAGATGGATGGATGTATATTTGTTTAAAAGTATTTCCGGAACGTCTCAACGGATCTCGCTGAAATTTGGCATAGATGTAGAACATAGTCTGGAAGAACACATGGGCAACGTATTAAGTAATTTTTTCTAATACCGCGCGAATGGAGTCGTGGGCTATGGCTAGTAGTAAATAAAAGATTAAGTAATCAGGTACAATTTGAGACCATAGAATATGATGACATTTAATATTATACTAATTTAGTTTTTTTAATAACTTGTTTTATAAATAGTTTGTGCGTACTAATCTTTTCCTATTATGATTTAATTGGCTCTCCGTTTACATTTTCTTGGGTAAACAATTTTATTGCATCGCCTTAGTTTCATAATACTCCTGCACTTGATAGGCGGTCGCTCGAGGGAGAAAATCGATGTCTACTTGAAGAGGCAATTACGTGAATCTTCTTACAATATTCACTATTTTCTTATCATAAAATACAATAAAATAATAAGACAGCGCTCTAGAAATCTAACAAAATTGCATTGATATCGAATTTATATTAAAATAAAAAAAAAAATCTTACTAAGAATGCTATTAAATTTTATTAAATGATATTATGTAAGAATGACATGCGTTAGAAAAGTCACTTTAAGTCTAATGGTTAAGTTTACAGATTTTTGATCTACAGGATTGGAGAATTTACAGGTTGGAGGTTCGAATCCTGCCATTTGACTAGTGCCGTACACCATGTCTAAGCACAAGCCTAGAGCTTAGTTGTACTCGTACGAGAAATGTAAAGTGATCCAAAAATAATCTAATAATGTTTATATTAAAAAAACAATAAAAAAAATTTACTAAGTAAGTACATTGTATCACCGTCAAACTGGAGCCTTTCAAATTCCAATTATTGCTCATCACATTAAACCTTTATAAAATCACATTTTACTCATAAATTGCTTAAGTTCACGTTCAAAGTGTATCAGTTTTAGCTAAAAGTGTTTCATATGGAACCCAATTTGTTGCCTTTACATCGCGTTTGTACTTTAAAATTGAGCATAAATATGTCATGAATATATCAAAAATAGTCTCGCAAGCACGTAAAACCCTCTTAAAGTGTTTTCGCATAGTTTTCTTTTATATTCTTTTTTCTTAAAATTTAATTACAAATATTTACTACTAGCTGTCGCCCGCCAGGAATTTAAATAAAAACATAATTAGTAGCCTATGTGTTATTTCAGACTATGTTCTACATATATCCCAAATTTCAGTAAGAGCCATGAGCCATTCTGGAGATACCT